GTATCGGCCGTCAGTCGGTTGTTTCGTGTTGTTAAGGTCGCATCGTACGTGTTGTTTAAGCGATATTCATTTTTTTTGGTTTTTGTCATTTTTCGAGGTACGGTCCGGTACGGAAAAAAGTGACTTAAACGTCGATAAAACAGGTGTCTTTTTTGGAGTGTGTGCTAGTGCGAAATCAACAAGTCAATCTGGCGGCCTACCTCGAAGGAGGGCCCGCTTGCACCTCTGTAGGGGCCCTTACGCTAAGGGCTGGACTGGCCCATGTGCCCATCGGGCCCGGTTCCAACTACATACAACATTCAGCCCACAATATAGGTCAGTGGCGAAGTGTGACCGCCAGGGCCGTAACCAGGATTTTATTTCGGGGAGGGGGGTTTCTTGTTGGTCCATGAAAATGAAATGAAAGAAGACGGATTAAAAAGCAAAAAACTCTAATTATACGTTTTTATTTTAAATTGAAATAAGAGATTCTAATTAAACATAAAAAATACAAATTAACTCACAATAGTAACAAAAATAAAATTAATTTTTTAATACCTTTTATTGTAACAGGAGATAGAATATTTTTAAAACAAAAATTTTCTATGAACATATATCGAAAAATGCTACGCAAGGGGTGCGTTTTTTAATAGGTTTTTTTTTTCAATATTTCCGAAATCATTTTAGAAAAAAATTTCAAAATTTGGTACAGATGATAACTTTTATATACCTAAACAAGTACAAAAATAAAATGTTGAAATTTTTAATTAGGGGCTTCCTAAACTAGATGGGATTAGGGTAAAAATTTACTCTAACTGTGGTTTCTTGCCACTTTCAGCAACAAAATTTCATAGTTTTTCATAAAAAAGGTCTTTTGTGTTTTTCCGATACAATTTACGGATTTTTAGTAAAAATCGGTTTAAAAATTCATGTTACACACCATAAACAACATAAAATTTAAAAATTAAATTTGTTTTACCGTTTAGGACGCCCCTGATTAAAAATTTTGTTATTTGGAATTTGTTTAGGTGTACATATAAAGGTACCAAATTTTGTAATTTTATTTATTCTGAAATACTAGGAAAAACCCTTTAAAAACGTACCTTTTTAGGGGGTGTAGCTCGGTGTAGCTCCCTTTCATAGCATTTTTCGAAACACTTTTGTCTTAAAATTAAATATTCATCAAGTATTTAAATTTGTACCTAACAATAAAAATGAAACACTGTATAATTAACACATGAAAAATTAATTCACAAAAATATAAATACGGCCCTGGTGACTGGCAATTTTCCAAAAATTGATGTTAAAATGTCATAAAAAAAAATGAGCAACGGCCGTCGGAATTCACCGACCGTCGCCTCCTTGATCGCGCTTGACTAAGCCCAAAGTTAAAAGTGTGACGAATGGTTCCCTATCGGTGTCAATATCGTCGAAAGACCTCTGTTTTTATCTTGAAACTTATTCTTATCGCCGGTACCACTATAAAAATTTATAACCGTTGAAAGGTGGCTATGGAATTAATCGCTCGATAAGAATTTTACAACCAAATTTTTTATTTTTTGCGTGTGCACGTTTTCAAATCGAGAAACACACTCCCAGTAACCTGGATACATAAATTTATTAATTCTTTTGTAACATATATCCGAGACACGTCTAATTTGAATAAAACATCACATGGCAAGCTGTTTGACTCTCAACAACATTTCCATGTAAATTTATAGCTTTCATAACGTCATTATAAAAATTAAACGAAATTTTTGATTTTATTGTGACTGAAACTAGGTAGTACTGGACGGTACCGCACACTGTATACTTCGGAAACCGACGGACGGATCGGTTTCGTTCCTTAGAAATTCGATCCGGAACACACTTTTTTACTAAAAGAAGTTCACCGAAAACGAGTCTTTCTTTAAAAAAATTTCAAACTCGAATAATCGACATTTTTCGAGCAGAACGGTGCGCGCTGTTTGCACAAATTGCTCAATTTCCGGTTTAAATTAACTTTAATATCATAATTATCGATTTTGTTCGATAGGATATGGAGGGTCATCACCGTTAAATTTTTAACTAAATTCGAAATACGAAAAAAATATTAAAAATGGCTCCCGTTTTCAGTTGTAAAATTACAAAAAAATTCGTGCTTCTATACCCTATACAGGGTGCGCCAAAACTCGCGCCCAGAGAAAAATGTCATATAAGGTAAGATACCAGGAACATAGAAAAAATGTTAAAAACATAATAATTGTAAAATCATCAGTATCATTAAAAAGACAAAAAAATGTCAAATGTCAAAAATTTTTGACAGAGAATTTTTTAAACATTTTTTCCATGTTCCTGGTATCTTATCTTACTTATATACCCTTTTTTTTCTTTTTCTCCTATTTCAAAGAATCTAAGGAGAAAAAAAAACAAAAATTAGAAAAACTACATTTTGTCTAGTCAGTCCCTCATCTATTATTTCCGTTATACACTGGGTGTATAAGTTCACATACACACAGCACTTATCATCAATTCTCGATTGTTTGACGTTCCGTGTCCCGGCCACCTTCGATCGTTCGTTTCGTGGTATTTCCAACTTTGAATCGAGAAAGTCTCACCAATCATGGCCACGCTTGATTTGTCGAGAAATTTTCGCACGAAAGCTCTGCTCTTTTGTTTGATTATTATAGGGGATTTTGTTTTTAATCACGTGATTTTGTACTGAATTAATTATACACAACTTTAAATTTTGATTGTTGGATCCGCAGGAAATGTCTAAATTCTATAATTATTGTCTTTGAAATTTAATGAGATTATTGTTACTTGTGTTGAAGATAAAAAGTTACACAAGTGTAATTTTGGACTAATTATTACATTTTGAAAATGTGTCCTTGTGCTATTGTATTATTTTCCTGTTCTACTAACTTCAAAAAAGGTTGTGAAAATGTCTCATTGTTGAAAAAAGCATAAATCGACCAATAATAAAATATTATAGTCAAGTAAACTTATAACAACTAATAAGAGTCACAATTATAATAATAATACCTAGGTTTATTAGGTATATCTAACTTACTCATACTCGTTTTTATCTTTTAAAACGAGATCTTTTGCAATAAGTGCACCATTTTGTATCATTCTGGATAAATTTTATTTGTATAATATATATTTACTGTACATTTTTGTTGTCAATCGTAGATATTAGTTAAAAATGTTTTTATTAAAAATAAAAAAAAAATTGTTACTGATTTTAAAAACAGAAAAGGAATAGGCGTTTTTAAAAAGTATAACTCTACAGGGTGTATCAGAACCCCAGAGAAAATTTTCAAGTAAGATAAGATACCAAAAACATGAAAAAAATGTTTAAAAAATTCTATCAAAAATTTTGGCATTTATTTTTTGACAATTGATTTTTTTATATATATTTTTTATTGTGATAAAATTTCCAACAAATTATAGACACCTATTTACCTCCTGTCTTCACGTAATTTCGCTAAACTTTATCAAAACCACTTTTCTAAAGAAATCTATTGTGAATGTGAATTTCAGAAAAAAGCGCAATAAATAAAAGAAATTTTTACATAAAATATAATACATATTTGAATTATAAGTCATAATTTATTCACACTAAGCTCATAAATAAATTGCATTCATGATCAATAAATAATATCAAAAAATTGTAATCATAAAAAGCTTTTAAATAAATTACATTTAAAAATAACACGGTTTCGTACTTCAAAAATAAATATTCATCAGTGTACAACTGAGGAAAAATTGTACATCTTTATTGAGCTTTAAAAATACATACATATTGTGATTAGATTTACAATACAGTGTGTCAAAATGTTTAAAAAATTCTGTCATTTTTTGACATTTGACATATTTTTATGTCTATTTAATGATTGGTAGTGATGATCTTGTATGTGTTTTTGTAATGAATATTTAGTAAAGGTACAAAAATTGTGCCAATAAAAGCCACAAATACCATTAAAGAGAGTTATAATTTAGGATACCGCTTCCTAGTTTCTTCTTTTAGTAGCTTGTAGCGAAAAAACTTGGGAAATTATTTTTCCAACAGAAATAAATAGAGTTAAATTGCAAGATTTAAACTTTCATAACGCGAATTCTGGCGCTGTATAAATAAAACAAAAACATTCAGTCTATCGTTTTATTTTAACTCTATTGAAAAATAAAAAAGAACTTTTGAAATGAAATCTAGATAAGTATAGTTACAAAAAATGGACATTCAGAATTTCTTTCAAATTTCGCAAAAGTGAATTTTAAAAGCTAAAGTTAATTATTAAATAGGAAGTGTAAAAAAAGCGTTTCAAAATGTTTTTTTAGCTTTGATAAATATTATAAAATGCCATTATTTTTACAAAATCTAAATTTTTTTCATCTCTTTTCCGTGATTTATTAATTATTGTATTTAAACTACAATTACCACAAAGACATAATAGATGGTTTTGAAAATCTGGAAGAGAAGTTTTTATATACCCCTGTTAAAATAATAATGGTTTCTAAAACTATTAAGTCAAACAGACCTATTATTATTAAAAAAAGCGCAACAAGAAGTTCTACTCGACACTGGTAAAAATTTCTTTTATCCATCATTAGTTTTCTTAATTTTTTTGTCTCTCGTGGGTCTTCTGATAAATGTTGGAAATTGAAGAAGTATATAACAGTTTGGAAAAGTAGTTACTTATTTTTTTTACTACGAATTACAATTGTTTTTGGATCGTAGTAAGATAAGATACCAGGAACATAGAAAAAATGTTTAAAAAATTCTATCTGTCAAAAAATTTTAACATTAATTTTTGACATTTGACATTTTTTATCTCTATTTAATGATACTGATGATACAGCTTCCTTGTTTCTTCTTCTAATAGCCTGTAGCAAAAAACTTAAAAATTTATTTATAAATAGAGTCAAAGTCAAAATTTAAACTCTCATAACTTGGAATTTTTTTTTATGTTTCCGGTATCTTACCTTTGTTTTTGGGGGATTTTCACAAATTTCTTCTATGTTTTGTGTATTTTTTTCAGGTCGGTGCGAGCCAGCCGCCGGAATGTTGATATCCTGCGCGGCCTGCGACAAACCAATCCTGGATAAATTCCTGCTGAACGTCCTGGAAAGGACGTGGCATGCGGACTGCGTCCGCTGTTTCGACTGTCACGCCCCCTTAACCGATAAGTGTTTCTCAAGGGAAAACAAACTATTCTGCAGGAACGATTTCTTCAGGTATTAATAAATAATCCAACCCTTATTACCATTATTAGAGTTAATATCAAATAAATCGGCGTTGGCGTGATCTTGGTGACATTTCATCGATTAAAAAACACCCTAGCATACATGAAAAATGTATAATTTTTTCGCATCGCGAAATCTCCCATAAAACCATCAATCTGTCAAAAGTTCGAGTGATTTAGAATCGCTTTAAGGCGCTCCCAGACCACGTTTTATAGACATATTTGGCCTTGGGTTTGCCCGCTTCGGTTTTTTACACGTTGGAGGGCTTGTGGTGGCGCAATTTGCGACCAAGGTCGCAAGAAATTGTCTAAACCAGTGCTTTAATAGACTAGTGCAATGTAGCTTTGTTATGTTGGTAACACAATATTACGGAAGGGAAATTGTGGTTTTGCATAATTAGATATGCAAAAACGTTAAAATCCAAGCATTTTGTAAGAAAGAATAATTAATTTGTTTACATTCCGGAAATTTAAATGACATGAGTTTTTCTTCATCTAAATGAATTGTGTTGAGAAATTTGTAAATTTGTTCATTTAGGTTGTTTCACACCTACGATTCAAAAGATAAAAATTCTATGCGTAATTACTTAAAACACCAAGTGATAAAATCGAAATTACTTGAATGAAAAATTGTTTGTTTTATTTCCCCACACCTGATACGAAATCAGCGACGATAAATCAAAAGTTTGTTTAATTATCATTTTACTTTGATTTTTTTAATGTTTGTCGTTTAACAATAGAAAATGTCATTTCTACTATTACGCAAAGTAACAAAGTACTTTTATGGCAGATATTGATTTTATGACAGTTTTGTTGCATAACTTTATGGCGATATTAACCAATAAAATATTTTAACGTGATGTATGGACGATAAACAGTCAAAATAACGCAAAAACAGAGAAGTGTTCACAGTCTCGGAAAAAAAATCACAAGTTTATAAAGAATCCATTTCATAAAATACACTTATTATCTTGGCATTTTATTAATTTTGACATTATTTTGACAGTTTCCTACAACAATTTTTGAATTTAGTAAAATTTCTTATTCTTATTTAAAACTAGAACTCGCGCCCCATTTTACTTTGTTTTTTACCATTTTTTGGAACAGTTTTCTTTATAATAGTTCCTAACATATTTTCATCTCTAAAACCTTTGTGCCGATGATCATCTTCGTGAACCCTTCACATCTTGATGAAAACGCTGAATTCATGAAATGTATTTTAAGACCTATTTAGACCGATCTGGTGATAATTTTGCAACAATTTGAATTTTAAATGAACTCTAAATCGGAGGCATTTGTACAGAAAGCAGGAAAATTATCGTTCCTAACAAAAAACTGTGACGTGATAAAAAAATTACAAATACAGGGTGAGCCAGAATTCGCGCCCCAGAGAAAAATAGCAGTAACATGAAAAAAATCTAAAAAAATTCTATTTATAAAAATTTCATAGTTATGAGAGTTTAAATTTGACTCTATTTCTGTTGGAAAAATAAGGCTGTAAATTGTAACTCTGTTTAATGTTATTTGTGGCTTTTATTAGCAAAATTTTTGTACTTTTACTAAATAATTAAAAAAAAAACATATACAAGATCATCAGTATCATTAAATAGACATAAAAATATGTCAAGTGTCAAAATTTTGTGACAGATAAAATTTTTTAGACATTTTTTCCATGTTCCTGGTATCTTATCTTGAATTTTTTTTCTGACACGCTCTGTATTGTAAATCTAATCACAATATGTATGCATTTTTAAAGCTCAATAAAGATGTACAATTTTTCCTCAGTTGTACACTGATGAATATTTATTTTTGAAGTACGAAACCGTGTTATTTTTAAATTTAATTGATTTAAAAGCTTTTTATGATTCCAATTTTTTGATATTATTTATTGATCATGAATGAAATTTATTTATGAGCTTAGTGTGAATAAATTATGATTTATAATTCAAATATGTATTATATTTTATGTAAAAATTTCTTTTATTTATTGCACTTTTTTAAAATTTACATTCACAATAGTTTTTTTTGGAAAAGTGGTTTTGATAAAGTTTAGCGAAATTACGTGAAGATAATTTGTTGGAAAATATTTATAAAAATAGCACTTTTATTCCACACTTTTAAAGACAGTCAAATTGTGAAATATATACTGTGCATTTAATTTTTTTTTTTATATACATCACTAATTCACATTAGTTTGACCAAAAATGATGTTCTTTCTTGGATTTTTCCATTTTTAGAGTGCAAAAGACTCATTATTTTTTAAGTTCATTGTGAAAGACTGTTAGCCCCCAAGTTTTTGTTTTTCTATACAGTGTGTTGAAAATAAGTGCAGTTTTTTAGAATTTAATGTCATTATTTTACATTTTTAAACTCGGCTATAAAAACCTCTTCGTCCCTTGGTGATTTCCAAGCCGCGGCAACGAAATATAACCAATTGGTCACGGCGGCCGGTGTGTCGGTGCTCGATTACGTTTTATTACGGGAACGACTGCGTTTTCTCTCCCGGTGCACGAGACCGAAATTGCCTCCTCGTTACGGCGAAGGCTTGTTAACTCGAAAACATGTTTGTTAAAGAATACGATTTGAATATCGGTCCATTATTCTGCAGCTCTCTTTCGTATGGTGGTTATTTTTTTCTCTTTTCTCTTGTTTTGTTTTCTTATTTATTTTCTAATGTACGGTCGCGTTCCGAGAAGGAGCATATAACAAGATCGGCCGCAGGAAAATCCATAAAAACAACGTGTTAATGGTCGAGAAGGGTGGACATTTCGAAGTGTTGTATTTCAAGATTGAAATATGGATTATTTTAGTGTTTTCAAATACTCTCTTTCAAATTACTCTATCCTGGTTTTAACAAGGCGACAACTTGACAAATTTTATATCATTTTGTTCGTCTCAGTGAGACAAATCAAATGCACTAAAAAAATTTCACACACTTTGAACTAAATATTTTTTTCTAATTTAAATGAATTTAAAATACTTTAACTTTCAAAAATCATTACTCAATAAATATTAGGCCGATTTCCTCCAAATAAAGACCATTTTAAAAGGATGGACTTGCCCTTTAGAATGATATGAAATTTGAAATTGAATATTGGCCAACAGTGGCGAACAGTGTTCGAAGAAGTTCGAATTAAATCGAAGTAATCTAAGAAAAACTCTACAAGTAAATTTTTTTTCTTTGTCACCGTCGTGTAGAGCATCTTTTTATTAGTGAGAATCCAAATTTTTAAAATAATATACCGAGTAGTTTTCAAGATATGATTTTTTGAAATCAAGGTTTGCTGTTCAGGTATTGCGCCATGCATGTTAATCTTACTTCTTTTGCTTAAAAATGATCAATTGCACCTTTTTTTTTCTAATTAGAATAAACAAAAACTGTTTCTTTACTTCAAACAAACAAAGAGTACCTGCGTACTAATTAAAGCAAATAAAGAGTTTTTTTGTTCTAAAAATGATCACTGATCATTGAGCAAAAAGGATCTAGAAGTTTAAAGCAGTAGCTTTAAATATAAGAACAAATCTTTTTCAAATTAAATCACTTTCCATTTCCATTCCAACTTGTTCACTTTGTTCTAGCTTTCTGAACTTTTTTTTGAAAATGTTTTCAGCAAATGCTTTTTCATCACTTTCTACTGGTGTTGAATGCTGACTGACTTAAAAAGAGTTAGAAAGAGCGCAAAACCGATAAACGGGAAGAACAGCGTGAAAAAAGGTATAATTTTTGAGACGGAACAAAGAATTAAATGCAAAAAGCAAAAAAGTGAAACAGAGAAAAYAGAGAATAAYTAGTYATATAAATGATTTAATGATTTTGAGGAAAAACAAACAAAGGAGACAAAAATCATGATAAAAAGAAAGAGATGCAGAAAAAGTTAAAAGAAGAAAAAGACTTAAAAATAGATAGAAAGATGTTCAAAGTATACAGTGTAAAAGTGAAACTGTAGTTATTGAGAAGGGAAAAGAAATAAAAACAAAAGGCAAAACAGTAAAAGAAAAGTAGAAAAATAAAAATCAGACAGATGTAAAAAGAAAAGAAGTTTTACGTAAAGGGAAGGAAAGGATGAAACAAAAAGAATAAAAGATAAAAGAAATACAGAAAAAAAGGAAAGAAAAGACAGACTTTGTTCGATTTTGAATTTTATACAAATAAGTGTTTCACTTTTTTGGTGTTAGTTTTTACTGTTTCTTGGTTCTTTTTGTAGACTTGCGATGTAATAAACTATAACATTGCTATTGATTTTATTAAATTTTATTTTATTTTCTTCTAAATTGAAACTTTTAAAAGTAAAAAAAGTAATAAACAAAAACTTAAAAAAAGACAAGAAAAAAAAAACATTGGAAAATAAGACTAACCTAACAAGAGACAGAAAGAGCGCAAAATCGATAAACGTGGAGAACAGTGTGAAAAAAGGTATAATTTCTGAGACGGAACAAAGAAACAAAAACAGGAAGCAAGAAAGTGAAACAGAGAGAAATGATTTAATAATTTTGAGGAAAAACAAAGAAAGGAGACAAAAATCGGAATAAAAGAAAAAGTTAAAAAAAGAAAAAGACTTAAAAACAGATCCTTTTTGCACAATGATCAGTGGTCATTTTTACAACAAAAAAACTCTTTATTTGCTTTAATTAGTACAGAGATACTCTTTATTTGTTTTAAGTAAACAAACAGTTTTTGTTTATTGTAATTAGAACAAAGAAGGTGCAATTGACTATTTTTAAGCAAAAGAAGAGTCTTAAAACAAATACTTTTATAAAAATGCAATTTTAAGTAAGATTAACATGCATTTCTCCAATACCTGAATAGGAAACCTTAACTTCAAAAAATCATATCTTGAAAACTACTCGGTATATTATTTTAAAAATTTGGATTCTTACTAATAAAAAAATGCTCTCCACGATGGTGACGAAGAAAAAAAAATTACTCGTAAGGTTTTTCTTAGATTACTTCGATTTACTTCAACCGCTGTTCGAAAAAAAGTTTGCCAATATTCAATTTCAAATTGCATATTATTCGAAAAGGCAAGTCCATCCCTTTAAAACGGTCTTTATTTGAAAGAAATCGGCCTAATAATTATTGAGTAATGATTTTTTCAAGTTAAATTATTTTAAATTCATTTAAATTAGAAAAAAAAAAATATTTAGTTAAAGTGTGTGGACTGTGGACTAAAAATTTTTTTTAGTGCATTTGATTTGTCTCACTGAGACGAACAAAATGTTATTTTAGTGTTTTTAGTGCTTGTTAATATTCTCTTTCAAATGACTCTATCCTGGTTTTAACAAGGAGATAATCTTACAATTCGTGAATCCGGTCGCAGTTTTTATGCTTTATGCTTGATGAACACCCATAAAAACCGGAGAAATATCATAATTAAGACTCGAGGTCCAATATTTCCCATCCCTTCTTAAACACACTCATCCGTTTAATAATCCATGACTCGCCAAAATCCGCCCTCCGAAAAAATTGCCCTTTAATTACCCAATCTCCATAATTTATTAAGTGGCCCAAAGGGCGGTTTCAAAGTCAAACATTATTTGAGAGAAGATCTTTTCTGCCGTCCCCTAAACGTTTTCATGCCGATTACCATAAATAAATGAGCGAGGGGTGGAAATCGTCGCCAACTACGACCCAAAAAACTCTCTAGTTGTTATCAAACACGGATGTCGTAAAGAACTTGAGAATTGACGTAAACGAGCCAGTTGTATTTTTTTCGTCGCACATTTAATTAAATGATAAGAATGAGTTGCTAGTTGTCACGCATGTGATGCGCACGATTGTGCGCACGTCCGAAAATAAATAATACATGATTAAATAAAAAAAAAATTCTCAGGTTCGTTGTGGTGAAAAATTAACACCTTGAATAATGGTACCACGGAATTATTGTCGGATTTATTACCCATTTTGTGTTTTTAATTAAATTGTGTGAGGTTACGAGATAGCCAAAGGGCAAGCCCGTGATAAAAAAATTACGTTTTGAAACACATTTCAATTAAATTTTATTTATTATTTGATGGACAGAGTAATTTAATTAAGCCGACTTATCACTAAATTAATATAATTTTGACTAGAATTTCGATAACAAGTCGAAGGTTCGATTGAAAATTTTTTTTTTGATTTTTGTTTGAACAAGAGTCGAATTTTAACGAGCTCCAATATATTTCGCAACGCTACACCTTGGGTGGGTTTTGTTTTGCAAATAAGTCGAGAATGTGTCGTAAATATTTTCAAACATTCGGGGTGGAAAAAAAAAGTCGGCTCAAGAAATAAAAAGAAATCAATATCAAATTGATTTTGCTTGTTTGTTATTCTTCGTTTCTATAACACCGAATGCATTTCTCAGAAATTCACCCAAACAATGGATTTCCTTGAAGAGTTGACTTTGTCGGATGTAAACAATCCTTTGTCGATTTGCGTATAATGATTATTTTAAAGCGGAAAAGTTACCACTTGTGAAGGTTTTTGTTTGATTTGTTTTTTTCAAACTAACAAAAATAAAAAATTTAACAAGCTCAGTGTCTGAATGAAAAACTTTATGTTCTGTTTCGGTCTCAACACAAATATTCGATTGTTCATCATCGTTTTATAGCAGGTGATGTTTTATTTTGACAAGAGCAGATGGTCAAAAATTAAAATAAATTTTACTTAATTGGAAACAATTTTCAGATTTAATAATAAAATTTACTTTTTTTGGTTGTTTTAAGAAAACACAAAAAGATAAGGATTCTAGGTATGTAGACAATTCTTAGAAAGTAATAAATATCCGGAAAAAAATTAAAAACTCCAAGAACATCATTTTAAACAAAAACTAAATATAAAAGTATATCTCTGAAGACAAACCAGATTTTTTTAATTTTATATTTTAACTTAACATTCTTTCATTGGGCACCTTAATTCCTATAACTATAGATTGTCCCAGCTAAGAATTTCTTACTAAATATCTCTTCTATGGTGAATAATAATTTGTTATATTTAAAACATCTACAAACTACTTTTTCTTACTACTAGTTGTAAAAGACATCATTATTTAGTTTGTCGAGAGGTTGTGAAATTGTTTTTCTTTCCTAGTAGTCAATAATCATTTTCATTATAGACCAAGGGCTTTAATATATTAGAGGTGGGTTGATACAAATATTTCTAGAATATTATTATTGAAAACTATTACCATCACAAGTATTAACGTAAGTATTTCAAAATGAAATAATGCGAAAAAGACTCAAATTTTCTCATTGAAAACATCAGAATAACCCGAACTCTAATACTTCTCTCTATGTCAAAACTGTCATTCAAAGCAACAAATGGGTTTATTTCTTGTTAAAATACTATTGGTAGTGAGGCAAATTTTAAAATTTTTTTCTTTTTTATTTTAACAATATTTCATATTAAGAAGTTAGAAAATTTCTTTAATAGTTCTTGAAGTTAAAAAATGACAACCTCATTTATAATAAGACGAAAATAATACTTCAACCTTAAGTTAATAACACAAGTAAGTGATTAATTACTGAAGGTAATAGTGATTTAACAAAAACAGTAGTTGTAAATCCTGACACATTAGGTCTGAGGCAACATGTCCATTGAGTAGGGTTATATATTTCACCGTTGTATTTCTGGGTAATAAATGTGCTAGTAGTGAAAAATTTTTTATATAAAACACGGTAGAGAAGATTTTTATATTCTCGCATTTATTATTTTCCTCGGGAAATGAACAGCTGGGCTATAAAAAATCTCGTCTCTACCTTGTGATATAATATACTATTTTAATAGAATAACAATTTATTTCAATTTAAAGATTATTTTTTTAACTAGATATGTTGGTATAGCTTTTTTTCTTCATTTTTGGAACATGTATCTCAATTTACAACCACAAAAGTAGAGTTTTTTATTTATTGTAACAAAGAAATTAATCAAGGTCTAGGTCTACAGAGTATTCCAAAATAATAGCACAACTGTAGATATAAAGTATACTCTGGCTATTAAATAGGCACTAATAGGTATTCCTTGATCGGAGTATACCTATACTTAGAAATAAAATTTGTAAAAAAAAAGTTGCCACATTGGGAACAATGTTAATAACTCCTATGAAGGATCTAATTTTTTTTTATTTTTTATGTTGTGTTTTCTTGTTTATTAAATTTTTTTGCTTAACTTAATATAAATATAATTACTGAAAGATCCTTTCCCGACTTTTGAATATGGGCCTTATTTGGGGATAGGGGGTTTAAAAAAAGGCCCTTTATAATATTCTATGTTTAGAATAAAACAGATGGAAAAATTAAGAAACAGACATTTTTTGTGGTACACATTGTTAAATCAAAGTTCAAATTACAATTTCAACAATAAATACAAACCTTTGCGTATTTCAAAAAAAAATATAAAAAAACGCAAAAATTAAGTGGGCCTTATTTGGCTAAGTTACCTTACTTTTTTTAAGAAAACTTAAATTTTATACCTGTTTAAGTTGGCAATTTTTAAATTTGACCCACTACAAATGACACTTGAAAATTTGATGAAATTGAGAAATGTCTAATTTTTTCAATGAAATCCAGTAAAACTACTTATACGGGCTTATGTTTTTTGATATTTTTGTGCAAATTATGATTTTTTGTCCATTAAATAATGGGTAACCAACCGATGCGATATAACGGCGCAAGTGAAGTGTGAACATTCATTTTGGTGCAAATGCACCTTAAAAAAATTCCATCAGACTCGCTACTATACAGGGTGCGCCAGAATTCACAAATTTTCAAGTAAGGTAAGATACCAGGAACATGAAAAAAATTCTATCTGTCAGAAAATTTTGACATTTGAAATTTTTTTATATCTATTTAATGATACTGATGATCTTGTATATGTTTTTTACAATTATTTAGTAAAGGGACAAATTTGACAATAAAAGCCACAAATAACATTGAACAGAGTTACAATTTAGGTTAGAGCTTCCTATTTCCTCTTTTAATAGCCTATAGCAAAAAAACTTGCAAAATTATTTTTCCAACAGAAATAAATAGAGTCAAAGTGCAAACTTTAAACCCTCATAACTTCGAATTTTTTATAGCTAATTTTTTTTAACATTTTTTCCATGTTCCTGGGGGCGAGTTTTGGCGCACCTGTATTTTTCCCCCAATTTTCCTTCAAAGTGGTGATTAATGGTTTTGTTGTTGTTCCAGGAGGTACGGTACAAAGTGCGGTGGTTGTGGCCAAGGCATATCGCCTAGTGACTTAGTGCGAAAAGCTCGCGACAAAGTGTTCCATCTCAACTGTTTCACCTGTCTTGTGTGCAGGAAACAGCTTTCAACCGGTGAAGAACTTTACGTTTTAGACGATAACAAGTTTATTTGCAAAGACGATTATCTCAACGGAAACAAGACGGCCGCCATTACCGGACACCACCACGGTAAGTCGATTTTTCCCAACCCTTGATGCGCGATCGCAAAAAAAACATTGTACACTATTCGTGTGATACGCCCCACGCGCGTCAACAATCGAACATCGACTACGTCCCGACGTCGATTGGTCGCGATCGGCACGTGGGAGGAGTCACGCGCGCGACTTCCCCACGCTCCCCCCCCCCACTCCCGCCCATCAATGCGTTTCAATTTCGGTAGACAAACAAAAGTTGAACGCTTGAGAAAACAGATGAGTGTCGCGAGGGTGCATCGCGACGCCGAAGTTTTTTCTATTTACAATTAAAGATAGAGAGAGAGAGAGAGAAGAAAACGGTCATTTTTCATCGGAGATTCGAAACGACTTATAAATATTTAATGAGATGATTTTAGGAGAGCGGCGATCTAGTGAAATGCTAATTTTATAGTTGTTTTAACGTATGCGAGATGGGTATAATTAACTGCGATGCTGTTGAAATGATGGTACGGTGTTTAGATTTGTTGGTGAATCGTGGACCTCTTTTCGAAACTGGTGCTATAAACAAAAACAGAGGTAAAAAATTAATGTGATACGACGGATTTGAGATGAGTTATGAGGTTCTTAATTGTTTTCGAAATGAATAATGTGTGAACTAAATTGTTTCTAGAAATATTATAATCAATGGAAGTTATTTTTATCCACGAAATTTTGCAAATGTCCCAAGAATGTCAAATTACATATGATTTTTTTTATTTTTTTAGTAAAACAATACAATCACTGTTAACTAAATATACGATCCACAAAAAATTGTTACCTAAGTATGCATCTATACTTTAACATATCTTTGACATACCTATAATAAACCCAAAGGTTTTATGTAAAAAAAATTATGAATATAAAGGGGGTGTAGAACACTGCATATTTTTTATTTAGGTCTAAGCAAAATAAATAGTCAGTATTCCTTCCCAACAGAGAATAAAGTGACGCTTTATTCCCTCGAGAATAAAATAAATGAAATACGGATTTTACTCTTAAAATAAACTGTGATTGAATGAATGACTTTTTTGAGTGTTTTTTTGACATAAACAAATTCTTTCGTACCCATTTCTCTTTTTAAAATTGTAATTGGATGAACTGACAATTTTGGTAAATTGTTTGACAAGTAAAATTTTTTTTTAAGTTTTGTATGTACCTTTGGAATAGATATCGTAAATCTCTTAAATTAGAATACCTACATTTTTGCGATTAAAATAGTTGTTGATCCACAAATAACTAATAAAAAATATAAAATGGGTTTACTTTGACATCCGGGGTTACTTTGACTACCAATTTTGTTTCATTTTCAGTATAGGTACCTACCGAAATTATGTTTATTTTATTTTTATGCCATACAAAAGCCACAACATACCAAAAAATGACTTATTTAATTTTTTTTTAAGAAAATACAAATAATAAATTTATACATTTATAAAATGCATAAACATATCTTTGTAAAACAATAAATAAAAAACCGTTTTTATTTAAGAAAAAAATTATTAGTATCATAATCTCAAAGTTTAAACAATTAATTAAAATAAAAAAATTTTTGGTATCGCTCCTTTACAACCTTTAACCATTTACTAATTTATTTCCAAAAAAAAACTGGTAGTTTACTCCAAAAAAAATCTTGAATTCTTGTAAGTCAAACATTTTTTTAACAAAAAAGTGTAAGGTTTACAAAAAAAAGATTGCACAGCAACAATTCTTGTAACAAACTCGTTGTCTATAAAAAAATTGTCGTAGGTTTTCATTAAAAAAAAAAGTTTCTATGTTTATCTGGTAAGTATAAACAAATAAGTACTATTCAAAATTTTTTTTTGAATAGCATTTTTCTAGCCTTTGCTCACCTATAAATTTATTTTCCAAAAAAAATTAATAGTTTCGCCAGAATAACATCGTTTCCAGACTTTTGGAACATCCTGTATATTTTATGTTTTGTGTTTAATGAGTGTAATAAAGTTTATTTACATCAGATATTACATAACTTTGATTTTCAACGTAGAAAAAAGGGACAGTCAAAATAGCCCCGAAGTCGGGATTTCTTTGACATCAAATTTTCTAATTTTTTTAGAAAAACTATGACCTTGAGGCAAAATTTTAAGTTTGTTTGTTAAACCAGAAGGATCAATTGTTCTGATGCTAATTTTTTCAAGAAAATATTGCAACAAATAAAAAAGTTACGTTAACAAAATTCTCAAACTATGTCAAAGTAACCCCGTTTTTTTAGTAGGTATACCTACTATTTTTTCTACCTTCTACAAAATACGTAAATACAATAATATTTTTTTTAGATTGAATTAGATATTTAGTTTTCTTATTTGTGTACGTAGCTTGTCTTTTTTATCAATGTACGAGTATATCTTATATTTATCAAAGTATGTATATCTAAAGGTGAGGAAAAAAAAATTTTTGTTGTCCAACTCTTGAAATATCATTATTGTGTAACCTGACTCTTTGTATGTCGTTAATAAATTATTTATTTCATTAGGATTTTATTTATTTATTTATTTGTTTTTATATACTCAAAGGCATAATTTGATATTTGATATTGAAGACCTAACAATACAAAAAAGTATGAAGAACAATGTTATTACTATTAGGGACAGTTTCGATTATGAAATTCTTCTTGATTTTTCGAGTCTTCAAATATAATTATTGCCTATATTCTTAATTTGTTAATTGTATAATTATTGATTAAATAAGATATCTCTTTTTATTAAAGAAAACGTTTTTTAGGTGCAATTTTTGCTTATTTTCTTCAGACTTCATAAGTAACGAGTGTTTATTTAAATTTGGCGTCATAGTTGGCGGTGAGTTGAGTGTGTTGTGAAGGAACCACGATTTTTAATAATTTACCTAATTTTAATTGAGTTAAGAGTATTTGAAATTTCCCCAAACGTAGCTTTAAATTTTGTTTTTTTTTTGCAATTATGATGAATTTACCAAAAGAAAGATCTAACTTTTTTCTTTCTTATGCCCATACGATTTCAAAATAATTAAAAATCGTAAAGCCATCAATTTTTGAAGAGAAAGATGCAAATCCAAAAAATTTCAAAAAAGTCTAATTATTTCAAAAACGCTATCAAAATCACTTGAGTAATCCAAATACGGGTTTTAACCCGAAACTATAGTTTGCTGATTCCTCATATAATAAGCTGTGATCAAATTTTAAGTGGATTTTGACTCCAAATTTGACAAATTTCACCATTTCAACAAAATTAACTAGTTTTTTCACTAGCTCATTAGGTCAAAACATAGGTAATGAAACCAAATTAAAATTTAGATTTAAAATTTATTAAAATATACATTCACGAGGAACCTAATAAGAAATTCTTCATTATTGCACAAGTGAGATAATTAAAATCTTTGAAAGTGATAGGACATGAGTGACTGGACAAAACACATTGCTTATTACAAAAAAAACTCACTAATAACTCCACACAAAAAGCGATATGTTCTAAATTTTGCAACATGCATATGAGTTATTGAACTTTTCCAATAAACTGATTTCCAACCACAAACAACAACAAAAAAACCCCTCCATACAAGAGTAGAGAAAGTCGTTCATCATTATTTGAAAATTTTTAAACACAGTAACAATGCAGGGAGAGATAACAGTTTTCTTACAAATTTAGCGCATCACAAGAAAATACTTCGCTTTACACAATTTCCACGCTTAATATCCGGCTTAAATTTCACTCAATTGTAGAAATGTTTGGATTAATTTCAAGACAATTAACGCTGACCTGGCCCGAATCCATTTGCGTTTTTCTTCTATTATAATAATTTCAATTTTGATGATATAAAAGCTAAGATATGTTAAGAGACAACAAAAAAATATAATAACTGGTGTCATTCTCGAGGATTATACACTTATTACCACTTTTATTGCTTCCACAAGGTGTTAACAACCTAAAATACTGAAATATGTGTTTTTAATAATAGGAAAGTACACTTTGTTTGAATTATTCATGATAACATAGATAATTATGCAAAATTTTATTGGGAAGCTAATTCTGTACACTTGATTATAATAAGAGGATTTTTTTCTTTGTGTAATATAATCGCATGGCGTATACCGTGTACAGGGTGCTGCATTTTGGATGTCCGAATAGGGAATCTCCGAAACTAAGAGGTTTAGCCAAAAACGAGTGATACATTCTGGGGCTCATTTTTTGAGAAAATACTATTGGTGAAAATCGTCTTTTGTTTTCGACTTATAGACAAAAATTGACATTTTAGCGAAATCTAAAAAAAATCATATCTTCGTTATTATAGAAGACACAGATTTGAAATAAAGGCACTTTTTTACGTAGAATTTAATAATGTAGTTAACAATTTTTTTCAGTTGTTTGTTTAGCCCTAATAAAAAAAACTTGTATTTTTTTAAATGGGAATTATGATTCCCATCTATGGATGGCTATGTCATTTTTAAAAAGCTTGTTTTTTTCTTATCTAAAAAATATGTTTGTAAGAAATTATTATAATACATTTTTAGCAAAAAATTATCTTTGATTTTTGTTCGCAGTTGGCCATGAAAAAATGTTGCATCTTCAACTAAAAGGATTTAAACTATATTATATACAACTAGTGTCACTAATGAAAGAGTTTTCTAAGTACTAAGTGATGAAAAAGATGCAAAATAAATTGTAAATCAACTTACTGGCGACTAATAACATTTCTTTGTTTTTAAACAAGCTAACATTACCATTGCAACTTCTAGTGATACATAGAGTGTTGGAAAAAAAGCCGCTTTAATTCTTCAATAAAATATATTTTATATGATACAAAAATGACGATTCAAATACCCAAATTCCGTCTATGTGAAACGTTATCCTACCTCCATTAGATCATCAAATAAATGTTTTTTGTAATTGTGTTGACTGTTGACACATTTATTTTTCCTATTTTTGGATTTTTTAAAAATATGTAATAATTTTGTTCTGAGGCGCTCGGATATTTGTTCAATGCTTCTACCGTATCGTATTTTTT